GCAAATGCTCCGCCAATTTCTCATTATTCTTTTGTTGCTTAAGGCATTGCATCCCGTGCCACTGGTAAAGGATATGGTGTCGGCGAAGCGAGTGTTGGACTGCACCAGGGTAGAGCTATTGATACAGAAGTCCCTTCGTATTTTGGCACGAAAGCACCAAAGATGCTATGAATACTGGTCATCGTTTGATATTAGTCAACTCGGATGGAGTCAGCAATCATCTGTTATGAAAAATTGGATTTCGTGACAGTGGCAACCATGTCATTCATGATTGTGTTAAGAGTACTTTGTTATTTGCCGAAGCGTTGATTTGAGATTTTGATCTATTCAGTCGTCATGGTGTCACCGTTGACAGAATGCGCCTACAGTGAGTAAGATGTTTCCATCTGTGTTTTGTGTTTGGGTTTCCTAACCATGCGACACGAAAACAGTCCGTTGATGAATTATGAACCTAGAATCAGAAACTGTTTAAAGATCATTCTTTCTTAAATAACTGATTTTACTAGTTTTTCTCAACCACTGTTTTGTAATTCCGCTTTTGTTCGGTTGCAAACCGTTAAGATTGGCGAAGGTCTGCAGAATAAGGTAATAAACATGAGTATTGATCCTGAAAAAATTTAAACATGAGCTTTCGGAATCTTAGCATGGGGTTCTTTTATCGGCTTTGCAGAAATAAGTAGCCCTTTCTCGTTTCTTTACTTCCAGTTGTTTGAGGGATTTATGTTTATCTATAGGTTTCGAAGGCGAGGTCGTAAAGTTTTGCTGCAACCATTGACTGTTGATGCTTGCTAATTACTTTTGCAAACTTTAGCTTAACGATGGAAGGTGGTTACAGTCTCATAGCAGAATGTAATGACCACTGTGCGTGTTCTGCGTCGCATTTCCAACCAGTTTGCGGAATCGCGAATGGCGAACGGAGTGTCTACTTTTCCAGCTGTTTTGCTGGCTGCGACGGTAAATACGACAGAATTAAAAAGGTAATGTTTTTGTAAATGGGTTGCTATGTATTGTTGTTGTGTATCAGAGTCCATATCGGCCCGAGATTTGGGTAGAAATGAACCAAGGGCATGAACCAAGCCATGTTGAGTCTTTGCGCCACTAATCTATCCTAGGAACCTCGTTTTCATTGCTTTTATTCGATACTGCGCTCCTTTGGTTAGTATTCAGCACTTATGGCTATTGTTTTGGATAGGTGCATAGAGAGATTTGAAATCCGATAGCAGTAGTTTCGCATTTCTGCAAAAACTTGACCGGTTCGTATGGCTGCCTTCGCTTCCTGCCTGCTGTTATTCGTGATGCTTACTCTGGTACTATGCATGAACCTCCTCGCCTGCTCAGTGGGACTTGCCTATGGAACACATTAAACGACCTTTCTTGTCCGATCTGGAAGCTCGACAGCTGATTGGCTGATGCTCAGAATACCATCCCGAAGATGATCAGTCGGCTCAGAAATTTCGACATCTCTTTCTGAGATTGCCGGTCACCTCCAGATATACGGTGTAGGTGGATTTAGCCTTTCTTACAGCTACGTAATTTGTTTGAGAAACAGTATTAAGTACTTACGGTACATACGTTATTTTTGCTGTTATTGATCTTTACCGCATTTTAATCATATACAGCTGCAAAAGTATCCACTGCAGGAATGAGGTTGGATTTCGAAGAACTTTACAAAAAATCGTTACAGAAATTTAAACTTCATCATGCATTTTCAGCCGTAAATATATACGTAAGTTTGAACGTTTGTTCGTGCACTGATATCATATTGTAAAACTGCAGAAGAGGCGGTTTTATTTAATCTTACCTGGAGGAATCAGAACTTTAGCAGGAAACAAGAACATCCGAAAACAAAAGCCCGTTGTTACAGATTTAACAGTTCTTACGCACTCTCTGGTTGTGTTTCCATGTTTCTCTTTGCCTGTGGTACGTAGATTTCGAGAAGACTTTGACTCGATGTATATCCGTTGTGTACTAGATTCTTTGAGACGCTAGCGAATCGAGAAAGGTACAGTAACCTGATCGCCATGATTTGCAAGAATGTGACTGCTAGTGTGAAGCTCCACGAAGCTCCATAATCAAGGTCAAAATTGATGAAGGTGTTCGACTCTTAGATGTAACATCAAAGGCATCCACAGCAGCGCAAGACGAGGTTTTAATCACACTTCGTTGGGAAAATCACGGGAAACTACTGAAGTCACCTGCGGTTTGCCGATTAGTTTGTGTTCCTCACAAGGTCATCAGAGGAGCTTCAAAAGATAATCTATGAGATGAACAAAGCGAGCATGAAAGTAGAACTGAAAATGAATCTCAAGTAGACTCAGGTCATGTTTAACAATTAGGTAACCGTGCGACGTCTTAAGGTCAACAGGCTTAGGCTTGAAGCAAAATTGTATGCCAGGGACGTTTCATTTCTGCAACGGAGAACGGACGACGTGAAATTAACAGAAGAATAAAAATTGCATGCAGTACTTTTGGAAGGATGAGAATGTTTTTACCCGCTAAACTGCTCTTGTGCTGAATACGGGAAGTATTCGATCAGTGTGTGCTCCTAATGTTAATCTGTGGATGTGAAAAGTGTATTATCCCGAAGCCTTTAATCTATTTATAACTGCAGTGTACTCAGCGCGTCATATTAAGATGTGTTGCAGAAAAGAATGTTAATAAAAATCGAAAAATTGGAAGACGGAGAGAGATCAAACCGCCTGTGGGAGAATCAGGTTGATGGTAGAATGAATGGCAGCAGTTCGGTGGATCAAGATGGATGAAAATGGCAGGATGCATAAGTCTGTGACGAAGTCTTAGAGAGGCCTTCATATAGCGTTGTATCGAGAAAAGCTTATGGTAACGAACTCCGATAGAAACCGGTGGTTGTGCCTTGTGAATCGCGTCTCCTTGACAGACTGATTAAGAGGAAGCAGCAGTCTAACACTTTCAGATGCAGCGACCACTTTTAATGCTGAATGTTAATCGATGACTTCATGATTCGATTAAAGAAAAATGAAGATTGTAACTGGTGGGTGTTATTTGAACGCATACTTTTCTGATGGGTTCATTTGTATCTCCCTACTTTCTCAGTCAGATGAGTACAGAACTTGTCGAAAAAACACGTAGTTCGAACCGAGGTACCGAGTCACTTGCTTTTCATTTTTTCGTGGCAGGTAAATGAATATAATCAAACCGGAAGGAAAGAGAAGACAGCTGTATGTTGTATTCTGTGCATGGCAGCGGACGCTGCCTTCATCATCGAAATATGCATTCTTGATTGTACGTCGAAACGGACATCGGCACCGCACACCGTCAGCTCCACGAAAGAAGGTTGGCACTGAAAAACCCATCGTGGAAGTGCATTGAGGATCGACATTGCATTGAACGGGATTCGTTGTTTCTTTTTTCTTTTTCGAGTGGGAGTTTGTTTTAAATTTGACTCTCGCCGCAGCATCTTTCAGGGATGTAGACATTTTTTGCACGAAGAACTTTCCATAGACGAAAGATTGGTTTTAGCATTTCTCGCGGTCTTTTCCTTCTTATCTTGGCTTGTATGTTTGTCTACCTCTTTCTTGTTTATGTAGTTGCATACTGTTGATGTACTGATGAATTGGTCAGTTTTTGCTAGTTTGAGTTATAGTCGAATGCGGTGTTTTTAAAGTTGTTCCGTGAATTTGGTACCGTGCAAAGTTAGCTGAATTGAACTTTGATCGACTAGCGTAAGCAAACTGCATTTCGTGCGTTTTATCGTGATTTTTTTTTAGTCCTATAGTAACTGTTCGTGTTCGGATGACGGGGAAGTTGCAGCGGGTTGGTGTCAATCGAAGTGCAGCGCGTTAAGCGCTTTTCTCATTTTGTTTGCCCCGATTTGTTATTTTACGTTTTCCATTGGTGTTCCAGCGCTGTCCGTGGTTCTAAGGTAACTTTAACTGTCGTTCATTCATTCGTTCTGTGCCCTTCTCATCTTTACTTACCGTATACTAGAATCGTGAACTACAGCGAGCGTAGCTTTGCTCTTGGAATGCAGTGGATTGCGATCAGATGTTTCGGTAACGAGTTCGTTGTTATCATTTGTTGTTTGCATGCATCGAATCCGAGTTTCTGGTTTATATTTCAGTATTAGGCAAGCTGTTTTATTAATGCAGTCTACTGATCAGTTCACTTTTTACGTACTTAGATTGCAGTTCATCGTTCGTTCGGCGCTGTCTAGCTTTACTCGGCGTTCATGACAGCGACGTGCTTGAGCATATTCTTAAACATCAACAATTCGATGTGTAATTGTTAATGCTAAGTTATATAATACGGTATGAATGATATGAGAAATAGAAAATGAAAAGGAATGCACAGTTTTGCCGTTCGACCTTCCTTATGACATTGTCAACTGATCATTGAACAGTCGCTTCTTTTCTTTCGTTCATAAAGCATGAATATACTTTACCACAGCGCACACAAACACTAAAAATTATTAAAGTATATGAACACAAATACGCAGCACGTTCGTGTTCGATAGTAAGCAAAGTAAAACTGAGGAAGGCGCACGCATGCATGGAATGTCCGCTCTGTGGAAGACCTGTCAGGTGACGTAAGCGCCTTATTACAAATCTTTATAACTAGAAATTTTGTCCATGGCTCTTTCAGGATAATTAGAATAAATCCGAATTTACCTAGTCGAAGACTGTCTGTAGTTTAGCGCAATATTTAGAACAATGCAGTACGTATTTTCATATTTTCTGACAATTAGGTCCTCATAGCCTTAACCGGATCATATCATGTGGTACCTAGCGTTGTTGTAACGGTTTCACAGCCATGCATGTATTGCTTCATTACAATTATGGTTTGTGAAGCATGCTTAACTTTTGCCCATTTAAATTATGCTTTCTTTAACCGATCTACTACATAGTCTTTATTCTTGCAGTTCTTCTCTGGTAGAATCCCATCGATAGATTGCCTTCTAAACATCTGATCAATTAATGTGATCGTTTTGTGTTCCTTTTTTGCAGCACGTTTAGTTGTTCCGTTTAGAGTCTACTTTAAAGATCCGTTTAGAGTCTACTTTATAGATTGTAGATATAGATATTTATTTACATGTATTAGACCCTGTATATATTTTTTTGCCATATTTCACCATCAGCAACTAGAGCTCTAATTGGAGGTCGTTCAAGTTCTACCCTCAATCGACAGTTGGTATTTTTGATAGATTCTTTCATCGACTGCAGGTTTCTGTGTCGACGTTGGTGTTAACTTCGAAAAGTGATCGTTTTTTAGTTTAGGCACCATACCGGCTCCGATGTTGTTCGGTATGCTGTTCGAGGTTTCTTGTGTTATTCGACGACCACCGGAACGATACTGCGGCGGCAATAGTTCCAGTGAAGGTTCGTGCTATGTGTACGACAACAAGCTGCTTGCAGATCTATTCCTGACGTTCGCCATACTCGGTCAGTTAATCACGCTGATGTTTCTGGTGGCAGCATGGGCTTGTTGTAAAGCAGAAAACGAAATTACTGACCTGAACCATGCCGCGGTTCGACGGAGTGCGATAATGGATGATTCAACGTCTGATCATTTGGCGGTAAGCCATGATTTTTCAATGCCCTCTGTCGCTTGATGTCACACATGGCAGCGACCACTGAAGCGGAAGTTATTCGAAAGTTTTCGAATTATTTGCGAAGCAGTCATTTTTACCCGTCTTCACCCGTCCGTCCTCGTCGTTATCGTATTGGTGTTAAACGGCAGAGCTAAGCTATGAGTCGTTGCGGGGCCTGATTGATCGAAATATTCTGATGCAGTTATTTTCGGGAATATACAGAGAAGTGAGCTGCTTTTAGAATCCTACATGTATGCTGTTTGTTTATGATGTCGACGATCAGTCAACCAACTTTTTACCTGGTGGTGGTCTTCGCGCTTTACACTACTGAAACTTCATTTCACTTGTTTTTCTCGAAAAACTTGGTCATGGTTTGTGATGAAACGAGGCACAATGTAGTTACGTGAGCAATCAGTCATTTCGACAGTTCTGCATAATATTTTTTTTGTTGTTGCAAAATCGTACAGCCGCGAATATTTGTTTCTTCTTCCGAGAACAGGTTACATTGTATGTACATGGAGAATGAAGTTGCGCTATAATGCTCGTTGGTTGTTCATTTTTTCCTCGTTATGTACAGCTTGGCATATTTTATGTATTAGTTGTTTCTTTCATGCAGCCGATAATTTACAGAATGCTATTTTTGATCTGAAAACCGAAAGTGGTGTTGTTCAGCTTTAAGATTCTGTGCGGTTTATGCGCTTCGTTTCGTTACTCGTCGCAGATTTAGCCTGCTGGTACTTAACTGCAATGTTTTTTTTCATTTACTGGTGCTTAGTCTTCGCCGTTCTCCGTCTCACGTGTGACATGTCATCACCGACGCATCGTACACGCGCTTATAGATTTCTATAGTTAATGTTGTTGCTGTGAAGCGATTTATCTATGCATTACGGTAGGTTGTTGTAGTGGCAGTAAGTAAATAAACTTTCCATGTTTTATGCGACTTGTTGTTATCTTCGCTGATGGCCGGCTACCAAGAAATTAATCGATTAGTTTTGCTCTCTGGAACCTGAACTTCTCACGTTGCCTTTGTGGAAGAGTGTGCAAAAGTGAAATATTCTTGCGTGTCTTCAGCAATCTTCAGGTGCAAAGTATGCGGTCCTTGTTTCGCAAATCTTTCAGCGTACCACTGAAAGTTCGGAATAGTTCTGCTGTTCCCCGAATGAGGAATTTTTTCATTTAAAACAGATATTCTGACGAAAGCATGCATTTGCAAATTCAGTATTGAAGTTGTGATTATTCGCAGTGTGGACGTGATGTCAGCTTTATGCAAAGCTGTATTAGCAGAATTTTTTAAATTTCTAAATATCGATGGTCTTTCCTTTGAAGAAATTCAGTTTGAACATTCACTCGTTTTTGTGATATACATGAGCTTTTGCATTTGTAAGCTGTTGTGCCGATAGC